TTTTTAATCAGGACTAATTTATTGACTTTTGTTACCTTTTTATATTTTATGTATAGGTTGGTACATGATTACTGATCATGAAGTATGAGATAACTTTTTGAATATTTTTTGTTTAAAATGAGTTAGCTAGTTAAGATTTTGTTTTGTATTCTTGTTTTATATTATACTCTGTATTTTGTTATAAATATTATAAAATAAAATTGTTTTATTGAATTTATTTAGATTTTCAATAACCAGCCTCTCCTGCATTTAAATAATGTTATTGCAAATAAAAGGCTTATTCCTGACAATGAAATTTTCGTTTTGGGCAAATTAATTCTGTCGTGATAACAAGTTGCTTTTTTGTGACGAAATTATTGTTGTGTTGCAATAAAGCACATGCGTTAGGTAAATGTTTAATACAAAGAAATAAAAAATTTATTAGAAATAAATATTTAGTTGCAAGAACATAATCTGCTATTTGTAAAGAAATGTATGCATTTACGTCAAATTAATATAAGTTTGTTCGAAACCAACTTTACCAAACTAAGTAATTACTTGCCTTAAGTCTATATTAGTTGCGCAATATACAACCACAGGATTAGTTTACCTAAAATCAATTTCGTTTCTCTCAAACAAATTGTTTTTTCGGTGTAAAGTTAGTAACTAGTCAGTACCTCGTAACTCGTAATTGTTTTCCCTTAAAAGTGAGATACTTTTTCGCCATAAAAGGTTCAAAGAAGTCTAACAACTTAAGTCTTGCAATAATATGCAAATACTTGAGATTGAACATGGCACTCGGCTAATAATACCTGTTCACTTTATCTGGTCCGGCATCGAAACAGTGACAGCCAGGTAAATATTGATAAAGGTATTGATCTTAAGGGTTGCACTAATACTTACCCTGAAATTGCTCTTAGCTTCCTTTTTGCGGTTATTAAGATAACAATTTGTTTGAGGATATGGCCTAGGCGCCTTCAAGACAGCGGAAATCACTGCACTTGGTGTTGGGTGGGATGTTTTGGGACAGACGTCGTCAAATTTTAATGTTTTTACCTACCCGGGGGAGTCACCATAAAAATTTATATTGGCAAGACTTTTTTTATTGCTTGTAAGGAAATAATAAAACGTCTCCAATAAACATTTTTGTTTTTATGGTGGTTTCCATAAATATTATATCATCCAAATTATAAAACCAAATTTTCTTAATTTGGTTACATAAATATTTATATCACTCTTATATACCCATTAAAGAGCTTATTTGGGGAGTTTATGAAGGTTATCGGTACCTATTTTAGTAACACTATAAAACCCAAGTTTTATAACTAGAGATACAGGAATATTATGGAAACCACTATATAACTGCTCTTTTAATATTTCTCTCTCTCTCGGGCACAGTTAAAATGCAAAGTAATTTTTATTGTAAATTGTAAAAATGTACACAAACAGCTGGGGACATCAAAATACCAAAACATAAACATTTTTATACTACTAAAAAATATATGAAAATATTTTTTTTAAATACATTAATATCTTTATTTTGCTTACATTAAAGTAGTGAATTAAGTTGTTTTTGTAATACAATTCGATCAACATTTATTTTATGTAAAAAACAATCATGGCGGAAATAATGTATCAACCTTGAGCCCTCTTATATTGCTTATGGTAATTTTATATAACCTAAGGTACTAGTTCAGTTTTATAGGACTATCTAAGTTACTTAAAGTGTTATTATATAATTTTGAAACTCTTATATACATTGTAGTAACTGTCATAATATTATAAAACTTTTGATAGGCAACCATCTAATATATTATATATTTTATGCTAAATTTTTTCTTCTCAACCAAATTTTAATTGAAATTATGAAAAAGCATTGCGTCGAATGCTAATACCATGCTTAATAGTTTTATAAAACATGTAACCGAAAACTTTATAAAACTCCTTTATAAACCTACTGGTAACGGTTACTAAAGGTGATATAAAAGTTTGTAGACCAATTGTATAACCTACTTATATACCTAGAGTTTACAGTAACCTTATATGACCATTATAAAACTAGTAAGGTAAATGGCAATTTCAATCTTATACAATTTGACAAATCTTATATAACCTTTATATGATTTATCGTTACCATATGTAGTACCTACAAATTGTTTATTGGGTTGTGTCACATAATTTGTCCAATGAATCATTGGCAATGATATTTTATCAACCAAAAAATCAAACAATTAACCATTTAACTGACGATTGGATCAAGATAATGTCCGTTAAAGTGTTCGAAATAGGTTCCTCTTTTTATCTACGACATTCCTAATTGAAATGGGTGACCCGTCCTAAAACCTATAGGAAATAAACTATAAAAAACACTCGATTAAATTTTACGACGATTGTGCTGCATTTCTTTCAAAAACCATAACGTTGGTATTCTAGATGGATCATGCAGGATTTTTATTTTTATTTCTTTTCATACAGTTTTTAAAGACTTGTAGCTTGACGCATTTATATATAATTTATGGAATACTAATAGGCTTATTTGCCAACAAGTTTTTATCGAACAATAACACTGTGTATCATTGGACTATTTGTCTCTAGATAGATAATCCTTAGACCATATATTTCTAGATGACTAAATAAACCAACTGGGTTCATCTGAAGACCTAAAGTACTTTGGAACGGTTTTTCCTAAAATGTAAACCGGCAAAGATAGATAGATCTAAATAAACAATTCAATGACTAAGCTGTAATGAAATGTTAAATTTATAATTAAAGGATAATTGCTTTCCACAGCTACTAATCTAACATTACATGGTTGCAAAAATAATTAAAAGTCCCACTTTAACAGTGGTTCATTAAATACAAGGTAAATGACCATAAATAAATAACTAAAAAATAAAATCCACATTTGTACCTACAGTTATTTTTTAAAATAAAATATTTTAAGTCTGTTCTATCCTCCCATAACGTATCTGGTTCTTTTCAAGTTCTTTTAAGGTCCTTATCCACCCTTTCATCTTGTGTCAGGTGGGCTAATTATATAATTTTTTATTGTGTTACACGGTTCAAACACATCGGTCCCTTTCAAGATGCTGAGGTACATTTGTCAACGTTTTTTGTCGCAACGCACGAGAAATTTAACATCTGCATTACAAATTCGTTTTTATTTGTATCTGTATATAATTTGTTATACTATTGCAATTAACTTTTTAAATTTTAAGTGGCGAAGCAGTTAACAGTTTATTTTAAATTTAATTGCACTTTTTATGTTAAGTTCATAATTAATTAAAAGTTACCGATTTGGCAATCTTAATTATTTACTGCTTGATGAATTTCTTTTCTAGAAATGTTTATCCTTTTTCTATTAAATCAACAAAGTTTCAATAAATATTTTAAATAAATAACAAACAATTTCTATATACGCAGTAAACAAACAATAAATTTCCCATGATGCAACAGGAAAATACAACAAAAATGTGGCACACATCATCCTGTATATATTTAAGTGGACCAAATTATCAATTACCATCAGAACTTATTCGGAACATAATTATTAATTATATTAAATTGCCCATCTATAACTTCTTTGTTAAAAAGAATGAGAATAACAAAATTAAAGAAACCATTTGCAGGTTCTTTTAATTAAACAAAAGGAGATCGCCTTTGAGGTTTTTTTCGCTAATAAAGTGGTGTGGTAATTCAAGAAATTATATTTGATTGGTTTCGATTTAATCTCAAACATTTTTTGTAGGTTGGGCTAATTACACTGGTCGACACAATTATTTTTTTTTATATTCAATCCTTAGTTTTTTTTTTTTGACCAAATTTAAAAACCGAAAATTTAGGGTTGGTTATTTTTTTTACTAAAAGTATCATCCTAACTTGCCCATAAAAAGTTAATAATACCATTTGGCTCTAAATTTACTCAAGAATGAAACTTTTACTTTTTAGTCAATTTAAGTAAGTTTTTTATCTATTTTGCGTTCATAATGAATTCATTATAACACCGTTTTCGGTGCTGTAATGAGATACTTTATCCCACCCAAAATTTTGATTTTATAGGTTGGCTATACTTTAAACAGCTTAATATTTTGCATATGTGTTATAATATTTTTATGATTTTTCTAGTACTTTTCTGGCAAAACATTTTGTTTAACACCAAAGAAAATCTTTTTTATCTTCTTTAATATCAACAGCCGCTTATTGTAAATAAGTAAATTAAGGACGGCATGGCGAATCTATTTTGACATTAACTGTCAAACAATGAATGTGATACCAACTATCTAAAGTTAAATTCCACCAAATTAAATTTAAGGTATAAAATTAATTATTTTTATATAATTATTGCAAAATAGATAAAATAGCATAAAGAACTCATGTCATAAGACTATATTATTATCGAACTAGAGAGTCATATTTGACAGAAGCTGTTTCTAATAAAAAAAATAAGTATTTTTTAAATTAAATTTGTTATAATTTCCCAATTATGTGATTTAAAAAAATCGAATAATTTTTTGAAACGAAGAACCAATTTCTTCAGTGTCGAAAGTAAAAAAGTAATCAATTTTTTTGAATCTCCCTAATACGGACCCTGTATAAAAATTTGTTAACAATATAGAAAAATTCCAAGGCCACTAGTATTTAGTTTCACCGAGACATAACATAAGTATCGTTGATAAAACTCAAGATAGACATACCAAAAATGCTAAAGGTAAAAAAAATGATTCACTTAAGATAAAATAAGGTTGCTTTGAAATCTTAAAGCATTATTATCATAAACTTGGTTCGCATTTTAGCCTGAAAATATCATTTTTAAACATTTGCTATATTTTGACGAAAAAAATCGTCACCCAACTAGGTAAACACAAACAACGCGATAAAATCTAGCGTGCAATGCACTCGGACCGTAAGTTATGCAACCCGCCGGCGCGTCAAGGGCGGTGGGGGTAAAACAGCCTCGAGTCACAGCTACCGCGATTACCCATTACACAGTGCCATACCGGTGCATCTTTCAGGGAGTGGGGGTGGAAACAACTGAACTCGGCAACGCGCTTTTCCGTTTCAGTTCAGTTCGCTCTGAAACCTCATGCGACGTAGTCGACTGCGATTTGATTTGAATGTTGTTGCTAACATCGTGTTGCCAAGTAACCGTATAGTGTACACACACGATCATTGATTGTCAAGTGTTTTTTGCGTGTGGTTAGTGCCTACTGTGTTTATAGTGACTGATATAGGACCATGTTTTAAAACTTTGTTCCCGTGGTTTTTTGAAAGAAGGCATCATGGATCTAAGAGGCGCGATTTTTTTGCAATTTTTGGCCTTCGTTGCTACTTTGGAACTGAAAAATGGGGCTTACGACAATTTGGTCATCAAACTGGAAGAGACGGTTCCAACTGAAGACTGCAGAAACATAATTTCAAATCTAGAGGTAATTATGATTATATTTTAAGTTATAATCGGTAACAGTCACTGAACTTGAACACCAATTAGTCTTTATATTCCCAAGAGATTTGTACAGCTTACAAAACTTCTGATAAGATTTCAACGTTTGCTTTTAAAATTCCTTTTGAAAATTTGTTTTTTGATAAAGACTCTTAGAGTTGCTACTTATCTTTTAAATGCCTGCTTGCTTAATGGTTCTGAGAAGTCCATTACAGATTTTTTATTAGCAATATTTTTATACCACCCTCTACTTCCTTTTTTCTTTTGAATTGTGTCGGTAAATTGTTTCCTAGTATTCTAATGACTAATCACAGGTTATAAATAATTATTTTTCTAATATAAAAAAACAACACAAGATGATTAAATCCTTGAAAATACATTCTAAATATCATCTCTATGGACAGGAATTTTATATTACAAGGCCACTTTATGTATAATTATTATAAATGTGTTTACGTGAGGTATCGTCATTTTTCTGCAGGCTATAAAAAATTACGTAGGTGTATGCATTGTGTAAAACAATTGCAAACCTATAACGATAACAGTAGGTAATCACTTAAATGTGAATCATCGTAAAAGTTCCCTGTCCAATCCACTGTTGATATCTCTTTAAATTTAACACTTCTTCCATTAAATATCGATTAACATCATGACAGCACCCAATTAAAACCGAAAACACTACACACAATATAAAAAAAAATAATCAAAAATCTATTACGCTCCAACAAAGGCTTAACTTACGTGTGATGTGACACGTTATTAACATATGATTTAACTTTTAAAAGGCTTGAAATTAGTTGAGGTGATTAATATGAGACGTAGTTTAATTAAACACCCTGTGCATAATAAGCAGGGCAAGTGTTACTAATCAACAGATAGAATGTTTGATCAATAATGTTATTTATAATTTAATCAATATAATTTAAATTCTCTTCAAAACACTTCAAATTACGATATATCCGTAACGGTTAATTTTACGCAAAAATGCATTTTACATTTTTTGTAGATAATTTAAAGATCTACAATTTTTATATATAACATTTTTATGCGCAACCAACTTTATATTATATCCTGGTCACGGCACCAATATGTCGAGAACACTTCAAACTGCGATACATCCGTAACGGTTAATTTTAGGTAAAAATGCAATTAACATTTTTTGTAGATAATTTAACGATCTACAATTTTTATATATAGGTAACATTTTTATGTGCGACCAACTTTATATTAAATCCTGGTCACGGCACCATGTCGCGAACACTTCAAACTGCGATATATCCGTAACGGTTAATTTTACGCAAAAATGTAATTTACATTTTTTGTAGATAATTTAACAATCTACAATTTTCGAATATCACATTTTTATGTGCGACCAATATTAGGTTTTCATGGTTCATATCATATGCCTTGAAATAAGAAGATAGACCTAAACACTTTCAGACAAGAAACAATATTAGTTGCGAGAATACCATAACATTTAACTGTAACCTACTTTCAGTCCCAATAAGGTGAAGAGAAGACATTTATTGCACATCTCTGCAGTTTCCAGTAAATATCAAAGAATGCTATTTACCTTTCGCTTGCATTTATTCAAAATATAATAATTATAATAACTCAATGAATTTTAACAGTTACACCTTGTAGAGGAAATTACCATTTTGGAATGGAAGATCCACAATAATTGTATAATTTGATGTAATTTCGTTTGATTGTGGTTTGAAGGTATGGGAACACTTTTGTTCGTTCCTTTTAGTGGTCCTAAAATTAATCAACTTGACTAGACAAAGGTTGCACATTTATTTCAAACATTTGACTCCTGGTTATAAATGCAAAGCTCCACTTAATTATCTTCTAAAGGGTCTTTTCATGTGATAATCTTGGTTCAATTAAATTTAGGGAAAGTCGTGAAATTTGCATATACGACTGTGGAAATGAATTTAAATATCAAAGAGCATCCCTTTTTGATGAGTCTAGCTGTGAGACAATAGGGGTGCATATCTGAGGCTCGTGCCTCCCGCGAAGAGATTTAAATTAAATGTCCAATCTCCTATGGTTTTAAACGTTCACGAACACGATTATTTTTTATAGGACTCGAATTTATGGCATCTTTAAGGGGTAGACCAAAGATCACACGATTGTTAAGCACTCTTTATAAATATTTAAATTCGAACCTTTGCCATTTGGAACAAAGACTGCAAAGGCTTGTCTGCGAATTGGATCTCAAGAAATCGAGAGCAACTGTGCCGAAGACGTTACCGAGAACGTGACGTCACGTCACGACTTCTACTCTTGTAAAAATGAAATGATTCGGAGATTCAAATTTTTATATCGCAGTAATTGATTACTTGTATTGGCCGGATGAATATTTATAAGTCATGTAAGACATTCATCAAATCGGATTTCAAACACCTCAAGACTTATCTGTGGGAATATCCCGAGAAGTTCAAAAGAAATTACCTGAATGCGGAGAAATTCGATGCCATGTATGTTTTGGCATTGTTCAAAATCACCTGAGTCCACAAAACGCCGCACAGGTAGAATGGGTAATAAATTTGCTTGCGAATAAATTTTATTCCAAAATCGATAAGTAAATATAGAATGCCATGCAGCTGTATCAAATCGCTTTAAGGCTTCTTTAATCAATTAGAGAACTGTTATGCGTCAGTCAGCCGAAAAGTTTGATGAAATGTTGCAACAATTGTACAGTATTATTTGTTATAACAAATGTGATTCAGAAGGTCCACAAGGTTCTATTACGTGCCCACTATTGTTCGACAAAATATATGCTGAGGATTCGAAAACACATTTTTTTATTTTTAACAATCGTGATGGGTATCATAATTCATATCATCCCACGTAATTGCCTTGACAAAACCTAATAAATAAATTAAATGAACGATGCTAAAAAATAATAACTGCGATATATCCGTAACGGTTAATTCTACGTAAAAATGCAATATACATTTTTTGTAAATAATTTAACGATCTACAATTTTTATAAATAACATTTTTATGTGCGACCAACTTTATATTAAATCCTGGTCACGGCACCAATATGTCGCGAACACTTCAAACTGCGATACATCCGTAACGGTTAATTTAACGAAAAAATGCTTTATACAATTTTTGTAGATAATTTAAAGATCTACAATTTTCATATATCACATTTTATGTGCAACCAATATTGGGGCTGTGTTGAGATTTTTTGTGTTACAAACACCACTGAAATAAGACCTAAAGTAATAAATAATTTAATTTTATCATCGAACGACGTAAAAAACTCAACTTAATTGAAATTCGAACCGACACCATCTTATAAACGTTTTCCCCTATATGCACTTGTTGAACTTCAGTGCTTTTTTAATTTTACTTTGCAGAGTGCTTGGGTCTCAAATATCAAGCGTTTAGGTATATAAAATTTAATTAAATTATGCCCACTATAAACATATTCCGTTAATACCGAGAACAAGGTAATAATTTTACTTTATAATTAACAAAGAGAGAATTTCTTGTTAAAAACGTTTAATTCGAGATACAGCCTCTAATAAATCGTATAAGCGACGAAGTCTTTATCTTCTTCGGTGAAGAATATGCTTAAATCTTCTAAGAAACGAGTTCCTGTATGTGGCACAAGTTCGGGTCAAAAGTCACAGCTAGAAACGCTGGTAATATTTAAATTTAAAATCATTAATTAATTTATGCGTTTTAAAACTGTTATTCTTTATTTTACTATTATAGTGAGGGGATTGGTCAAAACTGATTTTCCTTTATTTTTAAAACTCTCCTAATAGAATTGAAATCGTGTTCGGCGATCACATAACGAAAATTGCATCAACAGTTTAAAGCAACCGCAGCGAATTTAGCAAAGTTATAAAAATCACCGCAGAAAGTAATTTAATAATAATTTCGAGTTTATATTATAACGTTGCCGCTTCTGTTGGGTGCCGCATTCGAGTTATTACGCGCAGGGATGGACTCAGCATTTTGTACTAAGGAACATCGGCAACTTAAATTACACGTGGATGTAATTTTGGTTGCTTTTTACGTGTTTTGCAAATAAATATTTACCTTTTTGTTATATTTGTTATTTTTTTATGAATTATTGGATGACATCTTCAAAAATTTAAAAATATTACCATTTCAGTTATTTTTTTCTTTCAAGGCATAATTATCAGATTTTATTTATAGGATGACATAATAAAACATTGTAGTTTGAAGCCGGACCTGTACCTGAACAGTAGCTGTACTTAGTACTTAAATTGGTCACCAAACCGTGTCATAACAAAAGGAACTTTTATAATATAATTTAATATTGATTTCTTGCTAAAAAAAATTCTTAGCATCACATTAAATGTCATAATTAATAAAGATACAATTATACATAATATTTATATTTATATTTATAGTATTTAGAAATAATTGTAGTGTAGTCACGATTAAATAATTTTGCATTAACAGTGTATATATGAGTAATAGTTTTTATTATCAAACAATCAATAAAATTATTTGGCACCACACTTCAAACTGCGATAATTCCGTAACGGTTAATTTGACGTAAAAATGCAGTCTACAATTTTTGTAGGTAATTAAAAAATCTACATTTTTTATATATCATATTTTTATGTGCAACCAATATTATTGGTGTATGTACGTTGAAATAAAGAATCTTTGTTTGAAAAATTTTAAGTAACCTATATAACTATAATTTAAAAATCAATGAAGGCTATGATTTGTAATTGGTAAATGTATATATTAAAAATAATATTATGGTGGTTTGAAAGTATAGGTCAATAACAATTTAATTTGTAATGCTTTAAAACTATTTTCAATAATAAAAATCTGTAGAAAATCTTGAAGAAAGCGTCTCTAAGACGATATATTAATAATTTATTAGCGTGTCCGAACGTAAAATTACCATTTTAAGTGTGAATTTAACAATTCATTAAACGAAAACTCGTTTTGAATTTTATAGGTGGTTTTAAGTATAAAAATAAGTATGTTTATAAAAACCGTTAACTAATTATAAATACATTAGAAACTATTGGGATGCCACAGATTTGTTTTAAACGTTTTACACAATGCATCGTAATCAAAAGAAGAGACACCAACAGGCGATGAGAACACGAAATTTTTCTCAACAACGAAATTCTACCAATTAGCGACACATCGGGGATATGTTTGCTTTTGGTTAGCACCTGCGTTAAAAATGGGCACGGCCATACAAAGTTGTAGTACCTTCCCACGACGTGTTTATCTCATCTCTAAGTTAACAATTAAAATTGACAAATTTAAAATAAAATCAAATAATAATGTTTATTTGGTTTGATTCGTGTTCTTTCAGTTACTTTTCAAACGATAAAAATCTCTCAAATGGAACAAAAACTTGGGTAATTTTCTAGAGGAAACAGTCACACCCACCGCACTACCATCCTGAGTGAATACAAATATTTCATTACACATTGTTGAGTTATTTTTTAGACATTATATTCATCGGGCGTTGAAAAAAAACGTGACAAATTGCTATGATGAATAAATATAGTATTTATTCATTCAGGTGTTTATTGAATCTTAATGAGTACGATGTTTTTGTTGGCAAAAAATACTGGTAATTTATAAGGAAAACCTTTGACCCGCTGTCTCGACATCTTCGAGTAACGGTTATCTTGCTACAACAACAAAAAACGTTTGGTAAGAAGAAGACACTCAATAGTTTACTGCATTCATCCGCCAATCGGCATAGCTGTGAATGTTCAATTGTTAACCTAAACCATCTTGGTATTAAAAATGTTATCTATCTATGAAATCATCTTGAAAGGTGCTATGATGTTTATAGGTCATATGATTAAATATGAGAAAAGTAGGTGGTATATTCTATATACATTTTTTTGAATTACCCCAGTATGTATTTGGAATAAATTTGAAAGTGGCATAGCGACCTTTTACGAAACGTAAAAAGGAAAGGTTACAGCGCAGCATATATGTATAATTGGTTAGAGAAGATGCATGTATATTTACATTTACCTCTCTTCGAATGTATGCTCGATAATTTTTTCACTCTTCGGGTCACGATTACGGTAGAGTTCTCACGGTACTCCGCAGACGCTTAAAATTGACTTAGCTAGCCACTAATAATTATTCGAAGGATTTTTCTCTAATAATTACCCACGACACACCTCTACGAATAATTACTAAGCATCAGATTTTTATTATTTAATCATTTCATTGAATAAAAAGACTTGGTAGCACAAGACCTGTAAATTAATATCTCGATATCGATTTTCAGTCAACCCTTTCAAGTGCGTCGCAGTACCTGTTTTCCGCCTTGGACAGCCGCGCTTTCTTGCGATCGGCAACTGTTCTGCTTCCGCCATCTTGGCCCGACAACTGCGTCCCGTCAGCTGTCATGTCGGCCAGCGGGGAAACCTCTGACGTCACCGTGGGTCCAAGCGTGGCCCCACGAGAAAGAATATGGACTCAGCAGTCGCTCGGTTGCGGCCAACCTGGCGATCAGATCTATTTGGGCTACGAAACCTTGCTCCAGAGGGATAACACTTTAGGTAAGACGATTCATTGATTAACATTTGTTTAACATTCCTCCAAAGATGTCCTTTTTCAAGAATTAGCATTAATATGGGTTTTTATAGGTCGTTCCCTGATCAAAGAGTTCGCTATGTACCGCTACGGCGTCTTCGAGGAGCAGGGTTACTACAACGACCCCATCTACCCCATGTGTTACTACGACGACCAAACAAAACAAGCTAAAGTGACGGGTTGCTCTGATTTGCCAATCAAAGACAACGGTTTGTGTTCCCCCAATCCAGGAGACGCCACCTATAACGCAACGCAGATGGTGGACCCTAAAGCGAGAAGTTCCATAATGTTCGCCGCTGAAGCTTCCTCTGTCTCCATGTTCTGCGACGACGGCAATCACGATAGATACGCGCCGACCAAGCACAACTTACTTTGCGATAGACGTAGCGTTCTGGAAGTCGTGATGAAGCATCCCGATTTCGACTTAAAAGACAACATCAACAACGTGAACAGCAATCAAATCACCGACACAACCCCGAGAGTTATATACAAGAGACAAAACACGACGAGGTACGTTTTCGTCATAGAAAACACCAAGGATATGCAGCAGAGAGAATCCTGGAACTACCTGCGTTTGGCCATGAGGCAGTGGACTCCTTACGTCCTTCCTGATAACTCAGAAATCGGGTTAGTTCTAACAGACCCCCACCCGATTAGAGCCCTGAACATTTCCACCGTCAACAGAGCCACACGCGAAGGTTACGAGAACCGTGATAGATTCCATTCGTCCATACCGTACACGCCGAACGAGTCCATGCAACCCAGTTGCCTATCTTGCGCCATCAAAGAAGCCTCGAGCATGTTGAACGATAGAAGTAAAGCTAGAGGACCGGCGACTAACGTCATAGTGGTGATAGCGCCCGGAATGCAAAGCGACGAGAGCATGAACAAAGTCATCAAAGACGCGGCGAAGAGTCAGATCAGGATTGCCACCATAAACTACCCCAACATCGTTAGAGAGCACACCTTGAGGAGACTTTCCGATGAGACGCACGGGGTTGATTTTGCTGTGTTCGAGAAGAAGTTGAATGTAGACACCACTCTTCTTACAACATACTTCGAACTGCACAACGTTCTATTTAACGTTGTCAAGAACTTCTACTCCGGCCCTCCGTCGGATCTCCCGGTGGAAATCCACAGAAGGGAGATCACCGATGATGGGAGAACCTCCGTTACCGGTAGTTTCATGCTGGAACCCAACATGGGGGAACCCGCGAAGTTCACGTTCTTCACCCACAACACCGTAACGCCTCTCATAAAAAGCCTGAGACTCACCAGTCCAAGCCAGGTCACCTACACCACGAGGAACGATAAATTCCTGGACTTCAAGATGATCACTCTCAACGCCAACATTTCCGAAACCGGCACCTGGACTTACACCGTGGAACCGTACCAAGGCAACCCCCAGCCGCACTTCCTACAAGTCACCGCGAGTCCTAAATCACCGGAACTTCCGGTAATCGCAACCAACTTCAGGACGCACAGGAACAAACCCGGCGACCCTCTGATCCTCCTCGCTGAAGTCAAATACGGCGCGCTTCCCGTCCTAGGCGCTAAAGTTGAGGTTACCGTGACGAAATCCGAGATCAACGGATCGTTACCGCACAAGTACAAGTTCGAGTTGTTGGATACCGGTTCGGGGGATCCCGACATCACCAAAGGTGACGGTGTGTACACCAAGTACTTCAGCGCTGCCGAATGGGGGCATGGGGTTTACAACTTCGAAGTTTCCATCTCGGATAACGGCAACACTGCTTACACTTGGTCCAGCTCTTCAAACACTCAAGGTAAGACAAGACGACTTTTTTTACCAATCATTAAAAATTCTAAATTATTTTTTTTTGCAGGAGTTAAACACTGTTGTGGCAGTGTCATTTCGTCAAATGGAGTTCAACCGATTTCCCCGTTCCAAAGAATTTTACCGAAAGTGACCATCATGATCACCTCCGACGAAATTTTGTCCGCCAGTCAAGTTTCCGCGGGGAGAGTTGGTGATTTGAAGGTGGAGGTGATTCCCGAGGATATGAAAGCGAGACTGTCGTGGACGTCTCCCGATATGGCTGGAAACACCGTGTCCAGATACGAAGTTAAATACGCCCAGTCAGTGTTGGACGTCACGGAGAACTTCGAAACCAACGCGATGGCGTGGGAGAGATCGCAACCGCTCCCTCTAACGGCTGGCTCTGAAACCGTCTTCACCCTGGATATGAGCCAGAATAAAGAGATGCTGGATAAACCCGTGTATTTCGCTATCAAAGCTTACCAAAAAGGTGACTTAGCCGGACCCATTTCCAACTGGGTTAGAGTTTTGGTGCCGTCTCCTCCCCCACCGCCAACTGTGGCCCCCACGTACTCCTCAAACGACCAATCTTTCTGGCCCAACAACGTGCCTTCTGTAGGCGTGGATCAAGCAGGACCGAGCATCGCGAAAACGATGAACATAGGCCTCGAACTGATCCTTCCCGTATCCATCGGGTTCATACTGTTGGTGGTGCTGCTAGTTGTGTACTGCTACTTCTGCGTGGTCAAGCGTAGAGACAGAGGAAGCCACAAAGCCAGCAAAGACATGAAAAACAACAAGTTGAACTCCAACATCACCATCGTACCTAGTAGCCCGCAGAATAGTGCGAACATGGCGCCCAGTTACACCCCTGCGAACGACATCCCCGATCCGCATCAAGTCGGCGTCCCGGTGAACAACTACGCCTACGAAGATGAGACCAAGAAACGCTACTCCTTGGTGAATCAGCAAGAACAACAGCTCATTGAGGAGTTGAAGCAGCAACAGAGGGAGATGCCGCACAACTACGGCGGTGTGAGCGTCATCTCCAACAGAAACCCGCAACCTACGCTCTCCCCCTTCAACTCTTGGAGCGCCTCCCAGCTGCTCCACGAGCACGAAAGGAGGAACAGCCCGCTGGAGAACATGATGAACGATGAGCAGATGATGATGAACGGCTCGCAGGTGGACCACATGTCGATCAACGGGCAGACCATGGACCACATGAGCCTCAACGGTCACAACATGGAGTACCCCCAAGGGCACATCCCCCCTCCCGTGCCCCCACTACCCGCCTTCAACTCCAACGGATACCCCGTGAACTACAGCATTTACGGGGTGCACACCGCCCCGCCGCAGTCGCACCCGATCTACCAGACCATGCAGAGGAACGACATGGCGCCCTTCAATTCGTCGCTGCAAGGTTCCATGACCTCGGTGAACAGCGGCGAGAAGAAGCGGCGGAACGTGACGATGGTGTAACGGTATCTCATAGTGGATACGGTGAGTGTTAAAAAACTGGAAACGTACACCACGTATCTGTAAGCTCTGACCTAGTCATTTTTTTTTAAATTTGTGTGTTTGTACTCTCTGGAGCCAGTACTTAGGGTTAAGTTTTTTTATAAGACTGATCTCACTAAATTTTATTGTTTGTTTTTTGTTGTTATTGAATCGTATATGTGAGTATCCCATTTTTATATCGGCAATTTTGTAAATAAATGTTTTAGCTTTTAAGGAAACTGTACATACTTTTAAACATTTATAATAATCGACGATTAAATGTCTGTAATTGTATTTCAACTTGTGTTTTATTTGTAAAAATGACCGAAAGCCCTACTAAACCATTATAAACTAAAAAAAACATAAAGAATCAAAGCAATCTTAACCCAAATTGCAATTTTAACTCAAAAACATAAATTCGTTTTTTAAAACTTTAAAATAAACGTATAGGTTAAAACAGTGAACATTTTATCCAATGAGAATATTATCTAATGGAAATTCTCTCCAATGATAATTTCATCTAATGGAAATTTCATCTAATGGAAATTTTATCCAATGAAAATTTATATTTCTTAAATAAATTAAGCACATAACATAAAATTTCAAAAGACATGCACTATAGATTCTGTCATAAAAGTTGCCAGATTTTGTTTGAATTTTGATTGCAAAAATGACATAACAATTAATAAAAACGCCAAATTTACAATTTGCATTGTTGATTTTGTCATTTTTGTAAGCAAATTTAAACAAAATCTGGCAACTTTTTTTGACAGAATCTGGAAACGCTGGTTGTTGCCAACCAAAACATAATAAATTAAAATACTACCGGATAAGCCTTAAGTTCCTAGTCGATCAGTGGCGTACTTTTTGGTAGGTATTTTAATGTAACTGGTAAGAAAAAAAAACAATGTTGTACAATAAAAGTAATATATTTAACATTCTTTTCCATTCATTGGTAATAGACATAATATTTCCTATATAGCGGTCGTTACAAAAAGTAGCAATTCTAAAATAAAAATTAAGACAAACATTCTACTAGGTACTGCTTTTTGTCACCTTATGTCTAAAAGTTATGTACAAAGCACAATGTGCGCGAAAATAAATTTACACTTCAATAAATTACTGCAAAGATATTAGGCAACCCTCATGGCAAAAAATAAGGGATACAAACTGACTAATAAATATTGCAGTTAAAAATTACGGGTTGTTATTTTATTATAGTGCTTTTCCTGTACTTCAAGGAAAAACATTATTTTTTTAACAGCTTACACATATATCTAAACTAGTTATAATAGTAATGTTCTGCCACTCTATACTTACATACGAATGAATTAGTTACCCCTAAGAATTTTGAAATATTTACAATAATAATTGAACTAAATTTTACAAACGTGGATTTCAGCCTTATTAATTTTAAGTGTAATAAACATTAAAATAATAAATCAACTGAAATTCAAATAGTCAGGGTAATTTTACTAAAAACTATAAATGATATGATTTCGTCAGTAGTTTTTGTATTTTCCAAGATTTTACATGTTTTTTTGTTAAGTTAATGCCGGTTTTTTATCACAAAATAAGTTCACACATAAAAGCATTTTTAATTTTTTTTTTGTCAGTTCAAGCGAAAAAACTGACGAGGTAGAGGACGGCGTCCTCCATAGCCCTAACGACGACGTGTATGAAAAACACCGCGACGCACATGAGCTGAACCCGACCGCGGCTGGGACAGCGCGGTCCTCAGTCCGCGTTCTGCGTCAGCGGCGGGTATTCCTGGTCGTCGCTGAACTGAAACGCCCCCCTGGGCGGGGACTCCGTCGCCGCCGCCATCTCGCGGAATCTATCCGACTCTAAGAAAAGAGTTTCGTTAATTTTGATCGGCTTCGACGAAATTGAGAAAGTGCACGCGTACGTCCAAACTAACATCGACAAGTTAATTTGGAACATACTGTATAAAGACATTTGAAATGTTGCAAGTTTAAGAGAAGCCATATTAAGCCTAACATTTTAATTATATCGAAGCTATAAACATTTAAAATTACACCAAAGAATGAAAACTGAAATAAAAATGAATTTTTATTAACATTTTTTACACAGGGTGGCGATTTTAGGTTATGCAGGGTCTTATGTAATTAATGTAATATATTAAAATACTGAATAGCTTTTGACATAAGGTGTAAAGAAGAAATATGCATTAGAGTTTTTTTATATTTTTTGCGATACGCCACTGGTTACACACTTGTGTTCTGTGAGTACATAGATACCAACCAAGAAAGTAGCTGCGCGTTGCCAGTCGTAAACAATTGTTACCAACAATTTTTCTTACAAAAAATAAATAAAAACTCAATAAATACAAAAGTTTTATGCCCTTGAGGCTCTAATACCCTTCTGTATTTATTTACTCATCCAGCTATTAGCTTAAGCAATGATTGAAAAATTTAATAACTATTTTAAAAACATAACCACAAAATTAATTTTTTCATCGTTTTTTTTCTTTCTGTTTGCTCAGATGAAATTAGGACAAGTTCACAGGTTAAACTTTAAACATTCAATTTGTGTAAATAAACCCAAAAGCACTTCACTTAGTTAAGATATATACAATTTGAGCACAACCTAAAATTTGAAAGAAATGCACTAGATTTACCTTCATTACAAAAATGACATAATCAAAAATTAATGAAAACGGCAAATTAACAATTTGCATTGTTGATGTTGTCATTTTTGTAATTAAGATAAATTTAAACAAAATCTGGCAACTTTTTTCGACAGAATCTTGAAACGCTGCTTGTTACCAACCATAACATAATAAATTAAATTAGGCAACCATATTTGCCTAAAGTTCCTAGTCGATCAGTGGCGTACTTTTTGGTAGGATAAAGGTTATTATAAATTATTTTTAGTCTTAAGAATTTAGAAAAAAAAAGTTTCAGGTGCTTCTTTATGGACCCTAAGGAAATACGCATTTTAATATATTACATTAATTACATAACACCCTGTAGAAAGCTAATTTTTTTATGTAGGTAACAATAAAAACTGCAAAATCATCACTTTTTTAACCAGTTCATATAACATAATGTAAATTTGATTTGTTTCCATAGCAACCGTTATTAAAAATGGACTGTATCATGTATTATGACCTGGCACACCCTGTATAAGATATTTTACGACACAACAGAAAAAACAATTAAATTTTTATTCGACAATTTATTTTTATTTCAGTCAGCAAAATCAACCATACAGGGTGTACAACATAAAGAACTCAAAAACTACTTGTCAGAAAAAATGGCGACACCCTGTATATCATTTTCTACAATGAAAAAACCATTTTGCGTTTAAAATGCGGTAATTAACACCTAAAAATTATTTAAAATAAAAAAGATATTTGATATTCAAAGTTTTGTATGACACGACAACCTTCACAAGACAATGTATGTTTTAGTATTGTTTAGCAGCAACACAGAGCATAACATAAAAAATAGTAATTAGTGCGAAATGTGTGCAATCGTATCAAAGTTTACTAATTAAAATAATTCAAATCGCTAACAAAGCAAAATTAAGAAAATACGCATATTATAACTATTGCGATTTTAAAATAAAAACCGGATATATTTACGAGATTAATGCATGCATTATAGCGGGCTTAAAATAGTTTATCGTGTAAGTCTCGATAAACATACTTTGAATAATTATCTGTTTGCACATTAAACGTTTAATTTATGCAGTGATACGAAAGTGTTCATTGTGATGGCTCTTACTGAACGTTGTGTTAAATGAAGACTCCATGGAGGTAAATATTTTGTGTGTGCTTCATTTTAAGTTCATTGTAAAAGATGTAAAATAAAATATACCGATTTGGTTGCGTTTTATTTTGGCCATTATTAAATGCAAAATAGCTTTTAAAGAAAACATGGAATACATGGATTAAAGCAGCAAATAAATATCACATAAATTATTCCCAAACATGCAACAAGAACCGCCACCAATCTATGTATTTTATATGTGATATTTATTTTTATAAATAATTGTGTCATTTGACAACCGACAAAATGCTTGTTTGTAGATGCTGTAAAGTACAATGAAATAGTATAGGTAAGTAAATATAAATTCGATTTTTTTAATTTGTAAAAGTTATGTCATTAAATAAAATGTAATAAATAGTACAGAACGAAATTATCGTTTGGGGGATGTTAAAATATGGTTGTATTTTTGGATCTTGGTATCATAAACTTTGACCACGGGCGGAAGTTGCTTTAGTTAAACCACAAAACTAGTTTTGTGAGTTAAACTTAAAAAAAAATGAGGTTAAAACTGCTGTAATTTTTTACGACGTTGTCAAATTGACATTTTTTGCGATGTTGCCAAATTTACAAAAAACAATTGTTTTGAAAAAAGAAGCTGGCAATTTTTTTGCGACGTTGCCAAATTTACATTTTTTGTGGTGTTGTCAAATTTCCAAAAAGAATTCAAAATATCTAGAAAGATATTGTACACTATTTATTTTAAAAAATTTAAATTTTTTGAAATAATTAAGTTTTTCAAGAACTAAAATTTACATAATTAGGTATTGCCAAATTTCCAAAATGCCCAAAAGTTGGTAATTTTTTGCGACGTTGTCAAATTGACATTTTTGCAGTGTTAACAAATTTCCAAAAATTATTTTGCAATACTTATTTTAAAAAAAAA